AAGTCTATTTCGATAACATCTCTTCCGTGATACTTATAATATATTATATACTACAATGTCGGATACCTTGGTTTAACGTTTGGCAACCAGAGGGTTAATACTATTGTTCACGATAACAGTTGTACTGTGTGGTGGGGAAAAAATGGCGAACAGGTGTGTAATACAACAGTGTGTTACGACGCTTTGATGGCTGACACGCACGTGCCAAAATCGATTACATTGTAGATAATATACCTACGTTTATCAAACACCCCAAATTATATAAAATTAGATGAAAGTGTAGCAAACATTGCAATTAATATTTCTATAAAAACTTGTTAAATATTTAAGCACCTAAATAATTTAACAAATAATAAGTGAGTCAATACAGGCTACAGCTGGAAATAAATTATTTATATTGATTTTCAACCTAAAAATTATTATTCTCAATACATTATCAACTTAAAATACAATTAAATTTTTATAAAAATTCCTAATTTTAAATTATTATCTTCAATAAAATAGAAGTATACGACTTACTATATAGCACGTAATCATAATATTTTGAAATTAAACATAAACATATTTATTCTACAATGTACAAATAAATAAGCATATTATTTTAAGAAATTATATTAATCCATAATAATATTTATTAAAACACTAATTAAAATCATGCATAATATTTATTTAATATGGCATATTTACAGTACCCATAAATGGTAAATAATAATGGTTTTATATTTTTAATAAACCAAATATTATATTTTACGAATATTTAATACCTTTACTGCTTACTATAATGTTTTAAAACAGACATCATAAGCAATATAATTTATTTAAAATAGAATTTTCTATTATGATTTGTTAATTATGTATTAATTTAATTAATTTAAATTATAATAAAATTTAAAATATAATACGTAAACGTAAAAAAATATTTTAAAACAAACTGGTTTATCTAAATTAATCTGAATATTAAGCACATCATTCGTGAAAAAAACCCTAATAAATATATATATATATATTTAAGTGATAATTAATATAAATTATAACCCCGCTGCAGTTAAAGTTTATGAGAATAAATGAAAAATAAAATATTTCAATTGTACAGTATTATGAATGAATCTTTATAATCAATTCCACATGACTGAATTTACAAAAAACGTTACGTAATATTTCTGAAAGTGTACTTATATAGTTTCATAATATAACATGAACTGGTATTTAGGTCGAGACGAATTCACTGTATTCACAATGCGAAAATCAACTAAGAAAACGATGTTTCCAGTTCACAGTACTACAACAGTAGTACAGCTGTAAACAATGTCACATAGATTAAATTTCATTTGAAACGTTCAGTGGTATATAATATTGGTATAATATAGAGGCTTTCGTCGTCTGAGGGCTTTTCACCTACAAGGATGACGGGACGAAAACACAATACGTATATACGTTGTCGTCTGTGTTGATGGCGAAGGTGGTGTTAGAGGAGGTGAATTGGGGAGTGTGCGCGCGCGTGGAAGATTTAGTCAGAGAGAAAATAAATGGAGTAAAGAACACGACCAATTCGACACGTCTAGAACGAGAGAGAAGAGAGAGAAGAGTGAGAGAGAGAAGGAAAGAACGAGTGAGAAAATTCTCTTCGCACCGTGAACGATTTTTCAAAACGCCCTTCGACGTCCGCGGATGGAGGAGAGAAAAAAAACGGCAACAACGACCAACAACAACAAAATGTTGCTGTAGAAGGTTTGTATAATAGTGCGGCACGAATAGACCGGAATGGAATGGAATGGAAAACGTCGACGAGAGTGTATGGCGGGAGTAAGTGTGGCATGTAAGTAGGAGAGGGTGTGAAACTGTTGGATTCGACAAGAGCTGTAAATATATGAACGGGCGTCCGCGGCGGTCTCGCTGTCAAATTCAGAGAAGTGTTTAAGGCGGTAAAATAGGCAATCGATAAGGAAGACGGGGTGGGGTTTCTACAATAATATTTTCTTTCTCCTTATATTATTTCACCCGGTTCGAAATCTATTTGTCCCGTCAACGTGCCGCCCAGACTTCATTCCGTCTATTTAAACGCCACGTCATTACACCCATAGATCCCGGATATGCAGTTGTCCATTGTTGCACCTAGAACGCAATCCGACTTGTGTCGAACACGAAATTGTAATAATAATATTATATATAATAACTACAATAGTAAATCGAACACGATCATTTATGGATCTGTCTATTTCGTTTAAGACCAAACATATTTCATGTCATTCACGTGTATGCTTATTCTGTTTAACCAACGTTTATTAACCTAACAGGTACCTAAGTACGTAAAACTTTGACGCTTTAATTTTGGCCGTATTATAGTGAACTGTACTAGTTCATACATTTTGTATATGAATACGAACTATAAAAAATTTGTAGTACAATTACAATTTATATCCAACAGCCCGAACAGTAACACCAGCTGACATGTTCCCCACTGAGCTTATTGTATATAATTAAAGACATTAAAAAATATATAATGGTGTATAATAATTATATTATATTATATTAAATTACCGGTCATAGAAAATCACGATTCACGATATTATTATTATTATTATTATTATTATTCTATAATATTTCTACACTAATAATAATAATCATTATTAATGATAATATAACTAAATTATTCGATCATTGTCAAAAACGATGTTTTGTATCGAATACCAAAGTATTTGAAACTATGTGAATGCATTCATTTAATTAGAATGTTGATTATTTTGTTTGATTTTCAAAATAATTTAAAGTCTATTATAGTTTAAAACATCATAGTAAAACTTATCTTTTTAATTTTCAAATATAATACGCAGGTATACTGATTATATTTGAAAAACAATATAAAAAAACATAGTTTTAATTTTATTTTTGAACGTCTGTTTTATAGCCTTTAATCAATAATTCATAGTTAATTCAAACAAATAATAACCTACACGAAAATTATAGTTTTAAATCATTAAGTATTAATCATACGATGATTTTATTAATATTTACATTTTTTAATTTTTTTAATAATAACCATCAAACTTTAGTCCAAAATATCAGACAATAATGAAAGATGTGGGTTGCTAGGAATGAAATTATACATAACATTGTGACAATGTCATGTTATAAGGTGATCTAATTTTCAAAAAATTACTTATCTACTATGGGTCAAGATTCTATCGAAATGTTTTTTTACTAAGGAATGTTTGTTTAAAAGCGTTTATTTTATGATTATTCCAAGTGGGCATTTCGTGTGACAACTTGAGTACCAAGCATACGTAATAAACGTGACTGATAACTATTGTATTAAATAAATTGTTACGAACAGTAACATTTTTATTAAAACATTTATGCATTCGAGTGTATTAAGAGATTCTCGTGTTTTCATAGACAGGTTAATGGAATACGACGTCAGATCAAATTTCGCATGCTAATATGTTTTTATTGTTCCATTGCGTGTTTTAGTAGTATTTTTTTTTTTTTAATTTTGGAAAATATACCATACACATACTTTTGCATGTAGAACGACGTACCTGAACTCAAAACACGCAAATCTAATCATGTGGAATATTATAACGTTTATTCATACAATTGTTATTATATATATATATATATTATTTATGTACCTATTATGTATACATATATTATTATATATGCATTAAACAGTGTGCATATTATAATGGTGATATACTTTTTTTCTTTTTGGCGTTAATTAGTATTTATAAATTTTATATTGACACATAAATACCAAGAATATACTCAAGTACTTGAGTACGTCAAGTTTGACGTACATATGATTTTTTTCAGTTTTAAAACTCAATATAATTATTTTTTCAACCATATGTTTCTTATATTTATTTATTCATTTTTTTTTTTTTTTTTGTTATCAAAAAGTTCCCTATTTGGTATCTTTCCAATATTGGATGCAGATGGTAACTTTATAAAGGTCATCTTTAAAATTTCCAAATGCTTTTCCAAGAAAATTTCAATAAGCAGAAATCAAAGGGAATTCCATGAGGAGTGCCCAGTTGGTTCGATTTCTACCGGGAACGAAAACTTTTAGAATAATATTACAACTTGAAATTGTTACTGATTAATTATTTCAAATTTTTTTTTTAATTTTCACTTATTTTAGAGTTTTTGTTCTAAAGTTTTATTTTAAATTAAATTTGTATTTTGAACTTAAATAATAATAGAAATTGTGTAATTAATGAGAATTTTAATTACAAGAAATTTATTAAATTGATGCATTTTTATCAAAATTAATAAAACTTCAAAAATTAAGTTTAAATCTTTTAAATTTTAATAATTTCTTCATATTATAATAAATATATATATTTATATAAATACTTAGTTAAATCTTAAATCGATTTATATGATTGTTTAAAACGTGAATAATTGTCTTCAGCATTGACAACTTATTTAATTAATTACAACAAAAAACTATGAATAAGTAAACATATTATACAATGCTTTTAGTTAATTACAATAATGTAAATTTATGTAGTGCTAATGGCTATATCATCAAAGTAAAATAAAAATCAATCAAAAGCTTTTAAGTTTTATAGTTTTATTTTTCTTGAAATACATACAATTTAATTTATAAATAAAAAATAACTTTCAAGATTTTTTTCTTTACATTAAAATTTAATTTAGACAAATGAGATATAATAAAACGATATACAATAGTTAAAATAATAAACATAGTTTAATATCATATAAAAATTTGTATAAAACTTAGTTTCTATAAAATACTCTATGTTAATATTTAAAAAGTTTTTTTTCTGGCAGATTTACATGCATATTTAGCATTACTTAAATTTAGAAAAGAATCGCTAAATGACCGTGTATTTAAAACTATTAAAATTATTTATTTTTATTGAGATTCAATGAGATTCAAGTATAATAAAAACAATTCGACTGAGATTGAGCTTAAATAATATTAACAAAAAAAAATGTTCGTAGTCATACTGATAAGAAAAATATGAATCACTTACGATAACTGAATGAATTGGCAGGTCCCAACCGGTACGCAAGCAGCAACACAAGAACCACGAACCACTGCATTGTAAATCGCAAACCTGTCCACACGATCATTTTCGAGACACAAAACAATTCGTTTTGTCGCATCGATACGAATCGGTATTGGAAAGCACATCCGCCATTTTGTCTATGCCTGACAGTGTACGATGAAAGAAAGACGCTTATCGGAAAACATTTAAATATGGCTTGCACATGTTGAAAAAAATCTAAAAAAAAAAAAAAATTGTTATCAATAATAATAATTTAAAACATCTTTACTTTTCGCATTCAATGACCCCAAAGGAATAAAACTGACCCACTTATTGTAACTGAACCTCAAAACACTGGCATATTATTATATTCACTATCAATACCTAGATATGTGTCAAATTTGTATGACACACGAGTTATATGTTTAGTTCAAAAAACAGCTTATATATTTTGTCATATAGGCATTCTAAAGTAAATCAATATCACCATGACTACGATTCGAAGATCATGATGGTCAAAGGTTATGTAACAATACAAACACAGGTAAATATGATCATATTTTCTATATTACCCTTTCTATACTACACTAGGTCCATGGTATCTTTCACTTAGGTGTCTTTTCTGTCACAGATTGCATTCTAGACAGCCCCTAAGAGGTCGTTGAGCGCAAATGTAACAAAAGAAAGGGAGCTTTTGTTACCATTTTACTCGTACATCATGTAAGAAAATATTTTACACAAGATATTTTATAAGAAGCATATCAAATTCACAAGGTATGACAACAAAAGCAAACATACATTTTTTGACAGGAATTTTCTCATAACTTTAAATTTGTTAATACGAGTAAAAGACCTCTTATACTTATTCCATACCTACTTATAAGTACCATTATTTTCAAGTAATTATAAAATAAAAGTTTAGCAGATAATTATATTTATGTTGTCACTTTTCATTTAAAATATAATCTATTTCTACAAGAACATCAATATATCTTAATATTTTAACTTCTATGTTATTCAATTTCACACCAATTTTTATTTATTTTTTTTTATTGGTTTACCAAAACTTTACAAATTAGGTACAATAAACATGAGTTATATTAATAAAACGGTTTAACACAGAAAATACTTGATTTGGAGATCGTCCTTTTATGACACTTCTACGATTTTGGATTAAGGTAATGTACGAAAATAATGAATAAAAATTTAAGAACATATACCTTTAAAAAACATTTTAAATTTTTTTCAGAATTTTTAGAAAATTTAAACAAACGAAAAAACTATTATTTTACATTATTATATTCTAAGATATAAGTTTAAAATTTATTTTTACAAAAAAAAATATTTATTAATATAGATAAATAAGTTTAGTTGACGCAATTATTAACCCAAGACAATACATTATATATTTTCTAATTTTTTATTTATTCATATTAATAGATAACTCTTAATAATATGGTAATATTATAATTTATAGCGGTACGATAAATAGACTCATAAGGATTCACTATTTATAAAATAAAGTAAAACGATAGAAGAACATCTTAACAATCGAAACTCACGATAGAATTTAACTAAATTGAATTTAAAAAGCTAAATGTAAAAAAACATAATTTAGCTATAGTTAAAGTACCACAAGCTGTGGCTAAAAATCATTTGTATCTTAGCGTGTACTTAAATTAAAAATAATTATTAGATTTTTTTTTTTCTTGTTATTTTCAAAAAACTCACTTTTATTTAGTATTTTATGCAGACTGATTTTTTTTCAAATCTTTTTTTACACTTTAGGTAAACATAATAATAAATATGTATACATATAAGCATATATATAATCAAAATAAATGTAAAAAGGAAGATGCGCACAAAGTATTCCCAGAAGACGTTTTCTTCGTATTTTAATCAAAACCAGAGCAAAACACGTTGTTATACTATAAAGTATTTCTCCCTCGCCTCACGTGTTACTCATATATTTTTAACAATTCCATTTCTAACTCCACGTCACCGAGTAGGTACCTTTTGTATCAGGGAATCAAGGATATTTTACGGTGCACATTGACATTATGCGGATTCATTGAAAAAAAATTGCATTATAAAAGTGAAACAAGTGACTGATAAATTATATTTCTTTTTTTTTTTTTTCGTTAAACATGAATTTAGTAACAAATTTTACAATGTACTCGTGTACAAATAATAATTAAGTACAATATACATATCAATAACACTCAACAGTATTTATGATTAAAACATAAATAAGCATATATAATTATTTCTTGCCATACCATATTATAATAAAATTAAGTAACTATCACTGATTTTGTATTATTTTTACATTTGTAGGACATTTTTTTTTTCAAATGTTATCAAAACTATTCTAAATAAAATCGTTTTAAAATTTGTTTGCCGTTTAGGCAATATTACTAAAAATTGTTTTTGATTAATAACAGCTGATTCAATTAAAACCGTTATCAAAAAAATTAACTAAACTAGAGTTTAGTATGGTATAGCATACAAATCACAAATATTTATACATACATGAACTTGTTTTCTTTCAATGACGTTTTAATATTTTGTTCAATAACTTTCATTTCAAACATCATTTGTATACATTGGAATACATTTACGCATCAAAGTTCGCGACACACAAAACATAAATTAAATATAGTCATAATAATTCATAAACAGTTAATTAAATGGTGGGTAGACATTTTACATTAGTATAATATATGCATTATACTTGGTAGATATAACATACATATTAACGAATATACGCGTTCACGACGCTACTTTTTTTTGAAGTGCTTCCTTAATAAAATAGGTGCATATTATGTATAATTATATTTCAATGTATTTCTTCAAAAAGTTGATTACTAAAAGCTTTTAATAAGCAAAAGAGGATTCTTACATGGTTTATATAAGATCATTAAAAATGCGCAGTCAGTCATAGTGACTGATATAAGTTTTAAGTAGATAGTTTGTCGTCGTTTATCATTTATATCATTAGGTATAAAGAGTATAATATTGTACCCTTGTTTCTAAACTACACTTTTTGTTTAGTCCATACGACTATACTCAACTGCGTTCTTGAAAAAATAAAATAAACCATCATCGCGGCTAATGCAGTCGATGTTATGATAGACAAGATGCGAAGACACAACACGACTAGTACATATTTTATATACAGCACATCAACATTTTTAAAATTTGAATAGACAGTGTGTAGAATTTATTTAAAATATAATCTTTGTTAATAATCGCTACGAATTTAGCATCAGCTAAATCGTAAAATATTATGTAAAACTATTTAATTTACTCTCAGAAATCAGAAACACATACATAAAAAAATTAAATTTTCTATTGTGTCTACTCATTCTATCCAGTAACAATATTATTTAGATGACAATATAAAACACCATAAACTATTCATAACATTCATATTATAAATATTTTATATTACTACAGTACTACACAATAAATGTCCATTAAGTTATTTTATTGTTAGCAGGAAAATAAAAAAAGAAATATTTCTTGATATGTAAATATTATAAATAAAAAAGATAAATTGTATTTAATTTTTCATAACTCAAAAATTACATTTAATTTCAATATGTATTGTTTATATGACAAATCTATTGATTTAAAAATCATACGTAATATATACTTTTAATAACAAAAGATCTTTTATTTTGTTAAACCGATATAATTAATCATTTACATAAAATTTGAAATAAACGTTACATAGGTAGTAAAATATTCTTCTACCATGATCCAAATTCTAAGAAATAAAACTTAAGGCCCACAAATATAGTGTAATGCAGTGTATCTCACTAATATTAAAAGAAAAAAACCTTATCTAACCTTTTGATTTTATGTAGAGAACTATTCTAAATTTACATCGTACATAATTTCAAAATAAAATAATAAAATATACTATGTCGTAGAACTACTTTCTAAAGATCTAAATATTTGTTATAATTTTCTAAGACTACAAAATAATAAAACTATAGAAATAATATAATTACAGTAGGTCAAACTTAATATAAATTTCTTTGATACTAGATGTTAAATGAATTTAAATAAAACAATTGTTATGATAAGTTTCATATTTAATAATTTTCACCATAAAATATTATAATTGTTGTGTATATCTAATAATTGTGTTGTATAATCTTCCAAGCTTGAAATAAATTTCTAAGAAATTATCCTTATTTTTTGAACTCTATTTTTAATATTTTAATAACAAAAATAATTACTTATGTTGGAATGAATACTAGTAAAATTTAATAAAATTTAACAACAACGCCATAAGGCGCAAAAATAATAAAAACACATCAAACAAAATCAAAATTCAAAAGGTCTTACTGCTGAGGTATTGTCCATCTTTGTTTATACTACTAAGTACACAGAAACTGAAAATAATTACGAGCATATATTATATTATTCGATAACGGTTTAATTCACACCCTCGTTTTGTATACATCTCCCATCAAAGGCGTTACCCGGAAGTTGTTTCTCGAATGTACTTACTGGTTGACGCATATGGGTGATTTATTGTGTAGGGTTACATACGCACATATGTGTTGGACATTTTTTTTTTTTTAATGTACCACGTGGTAAACATAACACGTCAATAAAACGACAGACGAATTATTGACATTGTCAACATGACGTATCGATTAAGAAAACATGATTAACCGAAATGTTTAAAATTAATTATAATATTTTTCTCGTTAAATATAAACTATATGTATAACTATATAGTATATTATATAGTATACGTGTACAATAGCTTTTCGTTTCAACATTTTATGCCATGAAAAAAAAATATCCTAGTTGGGTAGGTAACTAGGATTTATAATTACATTTTTAATTGTATTTTCTTCCTATTTCACCTGATGCACAAAAACACGATAATAAAGACAATAAATGTTACTATTCTGCCCAGAATAGGGCAGAATATTTTATTTATTTTTATTCTTTAGAGATGTTTGTTGCTTGCAATTTAAAATTCGTTTGATTATATTTTCATTATTATTAATTAAGTTATTCTATAATAAAGACTATAAAATAAAATAAATTTGTGACTAATGTGTTCCTAATGCTAGTGTTAAAAAATTAGGTGTTTTAGATCAATGTTATAAAAAATTAACTTTTCATTTATGGATATACCTAAAATTAATAATTAAACCTGTTATTATGCAATTTATAGTTAAATCAATGAACTTAGTTTACTAGAATGC